GACAGTCTGGGAAAACTATTTAGAAGTTGTATGATCAACGACTTCCCTCACAGCATTCAGGATTTCCTCATATGGTGAAGCTCAAACAGCTAATGAAAACAAACCCTTCACCAGGGCTGACGAGAGCGTGCTACGTGTAACACTGTCTGGAGAACCTGGACGTATACTGACCGCAGGAGCTAAAAGCACTATTGTACACTTGTAGGTCAGCCTGTTGCCGTAGCACTGAAACACGTCTATGATAAATAGTGTAGCAGGTGTAGGGTTGCTGTTAAGCCTCTGAAGTTCAGCATGGTAGGCGTCTATTTCTGTTCTCTCTCTCTCCTTCACTCTTACCCTCACTCCTCTCTGTCTTTCAAACTTTCTCACCGGTCACCTTGTTGGTTTGGACAGCCATGCCACATAAGGAGGCCTGGACACACAGACAACTTTCCAATAATCTGTAAAAGACAATGTGAATTCATGCGCATTTGTAACATTTGTAAATGTTAAGAGTCGGTTCATGGAGATAAAACAGTTGGTGGAGCCAATGCCATGAAACCATTGTAGGACAATAGGACTCGAGATGACAAGTTCATTATAAAAGGGCCAATCAAAGCTCAAATAATGGAAAACCATCTGTCTGATTCATGTATTAATGTAAGGAAGGGTACTGTCTCCTTGTTGCTACACGTGCTGCGTCTCTTGATTTAATAGGGTCCTGTTGCACTCATTTACAGATATGTGGTAACTTCCCTTTTTTCAATGAGGTAAAAACCACTACAGCCAAAGCTTGTTTTGAAACATGAGCATGGTACCAGTGGACATGAGTTGATGAAATGTCTTCTTGCATATATGTTGTATTTTCTCTATTCACATCAGCAGAAATTCATCACAATCTGCTGAGTAGTACTGTCGAGTCTGACACAGAGTTTGTGACCAAGATTTTAGGAGACTCACTGCAGTGCATGCAACCTGCTTCTTCATGCAAGAACTACAAGGTTCCAAGAACTGGAAGAGCAACTTTGTCTTTGGGAATGTTTTATGAATTTCCAAACTGTGTTTGCTGTGAATGCTATGTTCAGCATTCCCATGCTGTTACACACCTGTAATCTTGACTGTATGTGCTTCTGCTTAGTTATTAGAGGATTTTACATTCATAGACAAGGGCCTTTGTCAGTGTTCTCATGCTCCCATGTTCTAATAATTTTTGCAGACACTTTTGCAGTATTTAGTGTTTCTTCCTAACCACTAATCAAAACAATGAAACACAAGTAAGTTAGGCAGTAGGTACAGTAGGTAGGTAGTTTTCATTCAGTCAAACAGTAGTCAACAGTGATTGGCTGTGCACAATGTCAGCACCATGTCGTAGTTCAGCAAGTTTGAACTTTAAGCACCCCCTTCAGGGCTCAACATTAATGCTTCCCTGTTTGCCCGGGGCAAGTAAACTGTTCCTGCAAGTGGAATGCTTCATGCGGTTGCCCGATCGGGCAAGTAAAACATATATGTGATAATGTGTCAATTTTTCCATGTTGAAAACAACTATTGGTGTTTGCTATCTACCATAATGCATTGGGTTGTGTCTGTCAGCCAAATCAGAGGCTGTGTTCCTGAGTTGTCAGTGAACCAGAGACTGTCTTTCTGATTATTTGCGGGTTCTGATCTCAAGTGCACTAAGTTAATGTTATGCATGTAATGGAATAAGCGACCATCTGTTTATTTTCTTGAACTGTTTCTCCAACAACTTAAAACTGGCCAAGTTCCAGGCAAAACAATTATCCATCCATCCATTATTTATACCGCTTTTTCCTGAATAGGGTCATGGGGGGCTGGAGCCAATCCCAGCTGACACTGGGCGAGAGACCGGGTCCACCCTGGACAAGTCGCCAGTCTGTCATGTAGACAAACAACCACGCAAACTCACTTCTATGGGCAATTTAGAGTCGCCAGTCAACCTAAGCTGTATGTCTTTGGACTGTGGGAGGAAGCCGGAGTACCCGGAGATAATCCACGCAGGCACAGGGAGAACATGCAAACTCTGCACATAAAGGCATTGGGTCGGCTGGTGCTCGAACCCAGAACCAGAACCTGCTGTGATGAGCCAGTGCTAACCACCGCACCGTTGTACCACCCCTAGAGGCAATAAAACAAAAAAAAAGGACAGTGAAACACCAGTGCCATAGGGTTACAAAGTGAGGTGGCAAATTAATTTCCTTCAAAGTTGGTCTGAAATTTTTAATAGCCCTACATTTTCCATTTTGGACAAGTAAGTTTGGCCATGAGACTTTGCTGATTTGTTTGTACAAGTAACCTCCATGTTTGTTGGCACAGTTTTTACCCTCCCAAACTCAGGGGCGCTGTACTAAATGTCACTAGCTTAACTACCAACCTAATGTTGGTACCAGAAGATCAGAACGTTTCAGACACTCAAACAGTGTTTCTTAACAGTCAGGGTAGCCGCACCTACATGCTGATATCTCCCCAATTGAATAGGCTGTCGGTCTTTGTCAGGTCCTGCTATGAGGGTAACTTGTACAGTTTAGGAAATTCAGAAACAGACGTAGGTTAATAAGTGTTTCAACTTTTCATGCAGTGGTCAGCAGTGATTGGTTGTGGTCACAAAGGTCAGTGCAACTGGGGTCAAAGTTCAACATATTTGCTTGCTGCCTGTGCAGACCTGTCACAGGCACTACATACACAATAATGAAGAGTTATGTACAAAAACAGTTTTTCTGCAGTAATGTAAATGCACCTTTTCCCCCTCTCTCTCTCGCTCTCTCTCACACACACCTACTTGTACTTCCATCTTTGTGAGGACACTCATTGACGTAATGCATTCCCTAGCCGCTAACCCTAACCTTAACCTTTAGAACTACAGTGGTGTGAAAAAGTGTTTGCCCCCTTACTGATTTCTTATCTTTTTTCATGTTTGTCACACTGTAATGTTTCAGATCGTCAAACAAATTTATATATTAGTCAAAGATAACACAAGTAAACACATCATGCAGTTTTTAAATGAAGGTTTTTATTATTAAGGGAAAACAAAATCCAAAACTATATAGCCCTGTGTGAACAAGTGTTTGCCCCCCTGTCAAAACACTGGTTTATCGCACCTGAGTTCAATTTCTCTAGCCACACCCAGGCCTGATTACTGCCACACCTGTTCGCAATCAAGAAATCACTTAAATAGGACCTGCCTGACAAAGTGAAGTAGACCAAAAGATCCTCAAAAGCTAGACATCATGCCAAGATCCAAAGAAATTCAAAAACAAATGAGAAAGAGAATAATGGAGCTCTATCAGTCCGAAAAAGGTTATAAAGCCATTTCTAAAGCTTTGGGACTGCAGCGAACCACAGTGAGAGCCATTATCCACAAATGGCGAAAACATGGAACAGTGGAGAACCTTCCCAGGAGTGGCCGGCCGACCAAAATTACCCCAAGAGCACAGCGACAACTCATCCAAGAGGTCACAAAAGACCCCACAACAACATCCAAAGAACTGCAGGCCTCACTTGCCTCAGTTAAGGTGAGTGTTCATGACTCCACCATAAGAAAGAGACTGGGCAAAAATGGTTTGCATGGCAGAGTTCCAAGACGAAAACCACTGCTGAGCAAAAAGAACATAAAGGCTCGTCTCAGTTTTGCCAGAAAACATCTTGATGATCCCCAAGACTTTTGGGATAATACTCTGTGGACAGACGAGACAAAAGTTGAACTTTTTGGAAGGTGTGTGTCCCATTATGTGTGGCGTAAAAGTAACACCGCATTTCAGAAAAAGAACATCATACCAACAGTAAAATATGGTGGTGGTAGTGTGATGGTCTGGGGCTGTTTTGCTGCTTCAGGCCCTGGAAGACTTGCTGTGATAAATGGAACCATGAATTCTGCTGTGCTGCAGTCCCCAAGCTTTAGAAATGGCTTTATAACCTTTTCCGGACTGATAGAGCTCCATTATTCTCTTTCTCATTTGTTTTTGAATTTCTTTGGATCTCGGCATGATGTCTAGCTTTTGAGGATCTTTTGGTCTACTTCACTTTGTCAGGCAGGTCCTATTTAAGTGATTTCTTGATTGCGAACAGGTGTGGCAAGAGAAATTGAACTCAGGTGCGATAAACCAGTGTTTTGACAGGGGGGCAAACACTTGTTCACACAGGGATCTATAGTTTTGGATTTTGTTTTCCCTTAATAATAAAAACCTTCATTTAAAAACTGCATGATGTGTTTACTTGTGTTATCTTTGACTAATATATAAATTTGTTTGACGATCTGAAACATTACAGTGTGACAAACATGCAAAAAGATAAGAAATCAGTAAGGGGGCAAACACTTTTTCACACCACTGTAAATGCCTAACCTCAACCCTACCCTAAACCTAATTACTTTTTTAGTTCTTTTTGTTTACTCAAACATGCTTCCCTGTTTATTTTATTACTAAGTGGGTTATGGAGAAGCAGACAGTAAACTGTGCATGTGTACATGGTGTACATGGAAACCATAACACAATAAAATGTGCAAAAAGTACAGGAGTCTGAATACATTTTGAATACACTTTAAGTAGCGCATGTTACCACTAAACCATCCACTACACTAAGATACACCCCATGGTAAGCCTTTTTAAACCTTAGCATGTTAGCATTGTCATTTTAAAGCGCGTTAGCATGCTAACATTAGCATGTGAAATGTATACACTTCATAGTGCCATTAGAAGTAGCTTCCATGATGGAGTGTACAGTGATTTTTTGCTATCACTCAGCAACAGTGATAATGCAAAAATCTCAATTTTCCTGCTCAAAGAGTAAATTATGAAGTTTTTATTACGTAGATGTGATCCCAGACAGTTTTTTGAATATGAAACGACAACATTCTTACCGAAACCTGTTAGCATATGTGCCTGGGTGTGTGTGTGTAAATAGTTTGAAACAGAGTGTACGTTGCGCTTTTGTTTGAAATATAGTAGGTAGTGATGGTGGCAGATTGGCTTGACAGAAACTGTACAATGTTCTTTGTTCTGTGATTTCAGGCAACCAGACAAACTGAGAGTGGTGTGGATCAGGAGAAACAGACGCCACAACACAAAGGTAATAATGCAAAGAAGAATGAGATTTATTAAGAAAAACCCACAACAGCCAATTGTCCATACAGGGCTGCTGCAGTAGAAATGCCTAAAATGCTATGAAATACAGTGTGTTCTAAATTTGATGGCTCCAAGAGGATGTATTTTCTTTAGTCCTGTATGTAGTGCTTTCTAGAGACTAAAGAACAAACAGTCCATGGGAAACTCTTCTGAGAATTCTGACACTAGGCCCTTTGTTTCTGTTGTCTGTTCTGTCAGCTCCACAGCTGGCAGCCAGGGATCAAGAACCCCTACAGAGGACTGGTGGTTTGGCAGGTTCCAGAGAGCTTAGGCATTACTGTCACACTCTATAAGGTAAGACATCATGTTTCTGCATAGTTGCAGCTGATAAATTATTTGGATTAGATGCAATGTATAACTTTGTTCTTAATTTGGATGGGAATTGGCATGGCTCAAGCATCAAGCAATTATTTGTCTGTCGACAGGAACCTACTGCAGAGGAGTTTGAAGACAAAGATTGGACTTTTGTCATTGAAAATGTGAGTGCTATTTCTGTTATACTTTGTTGTGGTTTAATTTCATTTATTTAGTTGACTTTAAATTGAAAAACTCATGGAAGTAGGAAGTCTACCTGGATCAGCTTTGACGTCCTTTTCCATTGTGTTTATGTATTAGGAGACAAAAGGCCACAGGAAGGTGTTGGCATCAGCTGATATCAATATGAAGAAGTATGCCAGTGTCACGCCGGCCCAGTATGATGTAACACTGAAGCTCAAACCGCTGTCTGTCAAAGTGGTGGAAGCCACATTGAAACTCAACATATCTTGTATTTTTCTCAAAGAGGGCAAGGCTACGTAAGTCATGAACTCAGCAGCATATCAGTAAGATGAATGAAAACACTCATTCCTCAAAGCCGTATAGTTGTATCCCAGATCTTAAATCAGTAGTTGAAAGCCAATATGGGTTTTGAAAACTAATGCTGATACTTTTGGGCTTGGATGTTTTTGTACATACAGTGTTTTAAGACAATTGTTTAACCTTCTCTCCACAGAGATGAGGACATGCAGAGTTTGGCCAGTCTAATGAGTATGAAACAGAGCGACATTGGAAATCTGGATGATTTTAATGACAGTGATGATGAAATTAGCGAGGAACGGAAGACCAGCTTTGGGACTGGACAAGCTATACATGTTAATGGTAAGAGTGGGGAAGCACCTAAACATCCCTATGGTGATTACACACAATGACAGCCTGGGACAAAAACACAATATGTGGTTTTATTTGAAAGCAAACACTGGCAGATATTGCATATCTTATGGGTATCACACCTTTAGTGGGCAATGTGGGCAACTGCCTGGAGCCCCAGAGCCTCAGTGGGCCAACTTTACTGTTTTGCAATTAGTTTATCGGAATTTGATTAATTGCATATTTGTTTTGTAATACTTTGATACTCTACCACTGAAAATATGAACTGAAATAACAGAGGGGCTTATGGTAATGTCCGCAGTATTACCTAATCTTGAGGATCTGTCTTATTAAAATCTAGTTTTAAAGCCATTATTATTTAAGTTTATACAGTGCTTAATCAGGTTATCGCTTACTAATCAATACATATACTGTGCACAGAGAGAGGTGGAAACCAGAAGCTTATAACATCTAATGCCCCCTAGAGGGTTCATCTGGTCCTGTAACCAATGAGAGCCATTGGCTGCAGTGAGTTGAGGCAAATGTGTAATGTATGTGCTGCAATTTGTAACTTACATGCTACAAGGTATTAATTTTGGAAAAGATTCCACACCCCTGCCATGTAAGTGAGGTCTTTAGCCTGCTTTGTACGTCTCTACTCTGTGTGAGCTGTCAGGAGTTAGTGTAGGCAAGACTATCCCTTCTTAGCTTTTTGTTTGTCTTTCCGCTGTTTCTTAAACTACTGCTTCCTCTTTTGTTTCTTGTTTAAAACCCACTTCTCTTTTCACTTAACCTTTACTGTCCGCTGTTCCTTTTTCTTTTTGTAGCAGCATCCGCCCCTTCTTCCACAAGAGTTCATGACCTGGCTTGGAGGCCTGTGTTTGAATCAGGCCCCTCAGGTAACTTTCTGCTCCCCAGTTTAGTCCTCCACAGTCCTGACTGGACCGTAGTGGTCCTAATTGGTCCTGATTTCCCAACCCCCACTCCTTTTCACAATGTTCTATCTTTAGCATTCATTAATTTGAAACTGCATTATTCATATTTGCCAAAGTTTCCCAGAATTGTTTTAAATACATCAAAGTAACAAAACTGATTTTTTTTGTGTTAAAGTCTCCATGCAGTTATATTGTTAGTTGTTCTAACAGTTACAGTGTAGTTTTATTGTTTTGAACACTAATCTGGGTATTTTTTTAGTCCGTTTAAAATTACACTGTCATCTCATTCCCTTTTTCACTTCCTCTTCTCTACTCTCCTCACTTGCATTTTCATTATGTATTTTTGCAGAACCTCATTCCCATGGCTCACATTTCCCACTTTCCATCTCCACACCTCTATTCTATATTTTACTGCTTGTATCTTCACTTCTGTCTGTTTCTCTATTCTTTCATTTCCTCATTTAATCTCTCTCCCCTTCTCCCCTGTCTCCACATTCATCTCATCTTTTATTTTTCACTCAGTAACCTCAGAGATGGATTGGAAAACATCCTCTGGCATTTCCTCCGCCATCTCAGCTCCATCTCGTCCTCCTCTGCCTGAACCCCCACGCCCCTCTCTTCCATCCACTTTATTGCGAACCAACACTCAACCACCAAGCACTATGCAGCAGGCTCGGCCCCTTCCCTATGCCTACACATTGCCAGCCTTTACACGTGCTCACCCTCCTGTCCTTCCTAAAATCTTCCAGCCCAGTGCCGGATCAGGTATTGGTCAAAAGATGTTCCCCATCCTGTGTGGCCACACCACTTGCCTGTTTTGGCTCAGATTATTTGCAGTTTTTAAGCCAAGAATTGTTTTATTCATGCCACTCTGTATGGTTACCAGATGTAGTAGATGCATTTAAAAATGATTCCAACCTGTTACACCAGTTTCAAGTCCATGATTAAAAATGTCCTCTCAGCTCACTGAAATGTGGGTTGTTTCAGCTGGCTGAGTCATACTACAATCTTAATACTGCACTGATGTGACAGCTAAGAAAACTTACTGAACAATAAGGATGATGAAATAATTAGTGCTTTGTAGTAGTGGAAGTGAATAACTACTCTACTACTTTTTTAAATCTGTAAAAGCTGTTCACACATATAGTTTGAATTAAGTATATTTTATTCAGCTGTTACTCTCAAATAATGAATTGTTCATTTCTTTTTCCTGTCCCATGACAAAATGACCGTCCATGTTTAGCAGCTTGTGAAATGAAATTGCTGGTGGCTAATATTTTGAGCCAGTATCCTGTATTGTATAAGGAATAGCTCAGCCTTTTGGGGACAGGACCTTTGGCTGTCTTTCTGAGAGTGAGGTGAGAAAATGGCTGTTATTCTCATGTCTGTGTGTTAAGTACAGAGCTGGAGTCCAGAGGACGTTTTTAGCCTAGTTTAGCATAAAAGGCTGTAAGCAGGAGAAAACAGCCAGCCGGTCTCTGTCCGAAGTTCAAAATATACTTACTGTACCAACAGGACTTTGTGGTTTTAGAGGAAAACTTTGGAAAGGTTTCACTCACTATTCTCCCCTCTCCTCTTCTTTCTGTACATACAATTTGTTCTTAGTGCCGATTTCAGCTCCTCGAAGGCCCCATAGCTTCCATGGTGACGCCTCTCCAGCTGAAGGCATGGAGGCCACCGCTTTCTTTACTTTTACCCCACATAAAGCCACCTCAACCTCTTCTCCACCCCTTTCACCCCCTGACCCATCTCTTCATCCTCCTGTTTTCTCTGAAACCTCACAAACAGGTACTACAAGTGTAAAAGTGTGATTGGTTTCTCACTCACTGGAAGAGCTCATAGTACAAAATGCAGTGCATCTAATACTGCATTGTCTGTATTTGCTTTTAGACTAATGCTATGTTTACATTCAATGTAAAAGATATATAAACTCCTGATCACAGTTAGTCAAGCTAGTTAGTTAACTACCTGTCTGAAAAGCTAAGATGAAATGATGTCGTGCTTTTTTCTTTCTGAAGGAAACTGACTTTGGCCTGTCATAAATAGTACAGCATACAGAGAGGATATCAACCAGACAACAGGCATTTACTTATTTGTTGTTGTTTGGCCAAGTTGTGGAATTATTTTTAATTAGTTCCAGCTGTGCTTGCATGCTTTTTCTTTGCATCAACATGTCAGGTGCTGCATTAGACTTAGTATGTTGTTTTGCCATTTTTTTCTTTTTTATCACTGTTTGCATCTTCCTCCTTCAGCCCCTCCCAGTGCCTGGAATGCACCTAGTTTTCCTTCTTTTACTTCTGTCTCCTCCTCCTCAGCTCCTCACAGCTCCTTGTTTCATACTCTCCCTCCACCTCCTGCTCCCAGACAGCCCAGTGCCCACCACACCGCTGTGGGGCAGCCATGCTCCACCCTCATCAGACCCACCAGTCTGCCCTCTGACCCTGAGACAGGTACAGGGACAGAGATATAGTGTAGGCAGTGTCCTGTCAGAGCCTAGTTTACGTCCTTCATTTCATACTCCTGTTTCCTTGTGTTTTTTCCTTTATCCTCCCATGCTTTTTCTTTCTCTCCTTTTTTACAGCTTCCTGGCAGAGTGAATGGAGGCCTCCCAAATCTCAGGCCCCTCTTGCACAACCCACCTTCTCTTCTAAGTTTCTGCATATTTGTACCCATGATCAAGAACAGGCTGAAGTGCAGCAGAAAAAGCAGAGAATAGAAATGCCATGTAAAGCTGCTCTACCTTTAACCCCAGTCAGGCCTAACATCCTCCTTTACTGATCAGCATGAACCTCCCTGCTGTGCCCGTGTCTCTGTCTCAAATTAATGAGAATATTTTTTAATGAAACTATGCAAATGTTTTGATTTTCAGTAGGAACCACTGCGCTTATAGCTGAGAGGGTAAGAAAGGCTGAAACATTTAGCGATGAACTTATAACACATTGTTGGTTAAGGGTTGTAAGGGTTTTGTCATATCAGAATAAAGCTGCGAGCATATTAATATAATGAACATCTTTGCCTTAATGACAAAGCCATAAATCTGAACAGCTACATGAAACAGTTACATATTCTAGATCTGAAAGGAGCTTAAGAAAATTATTTAACGTTAGCCTTATGTATAGTATTTGTTGGTTTGTCACTGATCCACTTTTGTTTGTCCACAAGAAATGAAAATTGGCAATTTATGATTAGGAAAACAGGCACTTTTCTCTCTCTATGTTTGTTTAGCCTTGTGCTTTACCACTTCCTGTATCGTTTTTTTTTTTTTTTTTTTGCTTCATCCGTGCTTCATCCTTATCCACCCTATCTTTGCCCTTGTTCTTCATTACTTACACACAGAGCTAAGTGACTGCTGCAGGTTGGGGTTACTGATATCCCTCTCTTTGCCCTCTCTCCTCTACCCTTCCCTTCTTTCTCTTCTTCCCACCACCTCTCCACTTTGTTATGTTTCCTCCCTGTCAGTTTCATCCTCTCTGCCCATTGGTGAGTCTTTGGAGCAAAAACCTCAGGGAGGTTCTGGGTTTGTTTCTTCCTGGAGATCCCACTTTACTCCTTCAGCAGAGAACCCCTCACCTTCTCCTCTAAGTTCTTCTTCTGTTCTTGTGCTCTCTGGGCCTCCTCCTCCTCCTCAGGCAAATATATCCCAAACTGCCATAGTCTCCTCCAGTGACCAAGATGCAGGTAGAGAACCTAAAAGGAACAAAATCCATGGTATTCCTCCATCATTAGATTCGGCATCAAAATGAGCTACCAAATTCATCCAGTGTACAAACACTTGTATAAACACTCCCCCTGCTGGTTGTTGTCATTAAAGCAGCTAAACACTCCACAGTGGTAAAAATATACACTGTACATGCTGTGTTGATGTGGATGCATGTAAACATGCTTTCAATGCTTTTCTTTCCCTTTAGAATTTAAAAGACAGTTGAGCACACTGAGTGAAGAGGATACAGCACCTACAAGTGAGTATGAACAAACATTTTATTGAATTAGAATAAATGACACCTATGTACAATGATCACATGGCTAACTTACATTATAATGTTCAGCCTCTGATCCCAGTGCCCCTACAAGCCAGAAGTCAGAACTTTCCACGGCTTCACAGCAGAAAAAAGAAGAGCATTTTGGAATTAAGGTTGTTAAGGCAACACCAGGGTGAGTAAATATAAAAGGCCGCTGTTTATTGGGTTTGGTGTTTTTAAGTGTTTGGCATGGTCAGAATGGATGTAAAGGAATAATCCACCCTCAGATTCTCCAACACAGGGATTGTAGATGCCATCGGTTGGTGGTGGATTGAATGTATTGAATAAGTTGTAAACCTATGAATGTTTACTTGTGACTTTGAAAGTAGTAATTTCTCATAACATCTGAGGATACTTTTGTCAGTGGATGGAGCTGTCATGAGTCAATAGTCTATTCGCTGTGAAAGGTTTGAAGGGGGTAGAAAAATTGTTTTGTATAAGCATAGATTTATTTATTCTACTTTAGGTGAATCAGATCCAAACCAACTAAGAGCAGAGAGGGTGACACACCGCTGGCCTCTAGAGTTGTTTTGTGATTAAATGTTATAATCTATTGTTTTAGCTCCAAATAATTTTTCTCAGTTGGTCTCATTTACTTTAAACACCCCATGTGAAAATGGGAGCGTTTAATTTTGTTTTACTATACTTTAAAAGATAAGGCCTGTGATATTTTATGTTTTTGTTATTTTCTGCAGATTCCTTACTAAGACTAAAACCACCAGTGAAATGTGGGTATTCACCATAATGTCTGTGAATCTAGAACCTGGTTTAGCTTATTCATCTATGCTGTAGACCTCCACTGTTGTCCAAAAACTATTAAAAACACACCAGTGAGCCACACCGCTGCACTGGGAGATGGTTTTTCTAAATGCTAGTGGAGTGGTGCAAACAGAGTAGCGATCATGTGGATGCACGGTCAAGTCTTTCTTACTTCAGAGACTTTAAAGACTAATGGCCATTGGAGCTTTTTTCTGTGTGTGTGATACCATTTTTCTGAGAATTGAGATTTTTCTTGGCTTCTCCTGTACCAAGGTGACAACTCTCCAGTTGCACTTGGGAAAAATATAGAGTGGAACAGGACAACAAAATATGCTTAGAAATGCAAACCACATTGCTGCTGTATAATTAACAGTGTTAGAGCATTAGGGGGTAGATTTTTCCTTTAACAGTGTTATTTTTTATCAAACAATAATAATTGCACTGCATGTATGTTACTGCTAATCATACATATCAACAAATCATACATGGCAACAAACTGATTGCACAGTGAATATGATGTTTTGGCATCAATGTGATCTTTGTAAAAAATATTTTTGTCTTTTTCATAGTTACATTTGACAACTATTTGCAACTAAAGGCTGATTATAATTTTTCTATCTAAACAAATGTTTATGTAGTTAAATAGTTACATTTCTATAGAACCTTTGTCTTAAGCACATTCTGTTTGCCTCTCATTCACCATAACTCACACACAAGTGTCAGGCGATCATGCAAGGTACTGGTCTGACTTGGACATGGGGACATAAGGAGTGGCAGATCAAACCACTTACCCTATAATTAGTGAAAAACCCGTATCCTGAGCCACAGCCACCATGTTGTTAAACTGTACACTAACAAAAGTTATTAAAGAGCCCATGGCATGTTTTTCCTTGTTTTCTGAGTTATCTACCATGTTACAACGGTGAATTATCATCTTAGATGTGACCTAAAGTTCAAAAAGGTGAGGTGTACCTATGTTCTAGTACTTCTATGCATATGCAGCTTGGTTTATACATGTGTCGCAAACTCTCAATCACAAGACTTTTTTTCTAACAATATAAAGATTACTTGATAGTTTAAGGATTTGCTTGAATGGTCATAATCTTGCACGTTCATGTGGGGGCTGACATCCATCATTGTAAAAGTAGAAATTTTTTGAATGCATGCGGTTTTGTGGATATATTTTCCCTCCTGCTGCTGCACTGTGACCAGAGGATGTGGAGAAAAATACAGGGCCTGAGGTTACTGCATGTCTGGGAATGTTCCTGTAAAGGGACTCGCTGTGAAGCCCCCTGGAGTGGTGAATGATCAGCTCATCAATGCTGGATTCCCCTGGAGCATGGTACCTGTTTGTTTTGACTGCTTGAGGCCAGTGTGTCTGCTCCATGTGATGTGTTTATGGTTAAAGAGAGGATTCTAATGATCCATGATGTTATTGTCAGTGCTACACTACCTGTTGGAATTTATTTCACTACTTTGGAACTGTATGTGTTCGTGTGGGGGAAGATGCAGTGACCACCGGTTGGATTTACCGACCTCTGAGCTATGTGAAAGGGAGTGATGTTTCCACTACTCGGTGGTCTGTTAATGCCTTGTTTCTGTAGAGAACTGTTTTAAGGCTGGAGAAGTTACTATGTCTGCATTATGCCATTTAGAATATGGGATTTCTCAATTACCTGCTTTGTTTAGAGTGTTACACATCTCTTTTCATCAGTACATATACCATTGTTTACCTCTATGGAGGAGAAATTTAAATGAATTAATTCTGTTGTGGTTTGTCGTTTCATATTCTGGCTCGAACATGTCAGGTAGGATTTGAGGTGTTGTCGGTGGTTGTGGTTAGGATAATGTTAGGATTCAGGTTAGGGAAACACATCTCGATGGGGAAACAGATTTTGACACAACACTAGCAGCAGGAGTTGTGCATGTTCATGAACTATCCTCTTGTTTTTAAGAAGAGGCTCTTGGATTTTAGCATTCTGAAATAATTATAAACTATTTGGCGTTATGATGGGCACAAAGCTAATCTAAAGGTACCCAAGATTAAACACTAAATAGCTGGAAATGAGAATGCAACGGGCTCTTTAACTCTATTAAAATGGTGGCTCGTACAGTTCTAGGGCCTTAGTCAGTACCGGAATACACAACATAATACTTTATACTGGGAAGGATTTATACTTAAACCCTAACCCTGCAATACTCAGGGCAAACCTGATTTTTCGCTGAGAAGAAGACTTTTGAATTTGTGAGCTTGAGCAGGCAGTAAGTGATGTGAATTCAGCCAAAGCAATGTGTTTGATATGATCACTGAGTCAAATGACTCCCTGCACCGTGACATGGTTGCTAGTAACCCCACTCTGCAACTTTGTGAAGTTTCCAGATTATTGCTTTGGTTTGCTAGATTGTATAAATGGATATTTAGTAAGCATGAACAGCTACCTTGAGTTCATATGCTCATATGGTAATAACTTACTATATTTCACCATCCCAGTGTAAGCCAGTGTAAGATGGTAGAGTAAATGAGTGGTGAAAAGAGCCACATCTCATTTTCAAAAGAAAGTGAACTGGAAATAGCAGATGTGCATTTGACATTTTGCAAAAAGAAAAAACTCCAAATAGATGCCCATATACAGTAGCTATGGTTTCTGCTGACTGTTACCTGTAAAACTCTTTAAGATAATAAGGCTTGAGGTTATTTTTGAAGTCTGTTTTATTCCCTCTAGCAGTTGAAAAAAACTTGATAGACCTTTAACAATAAATATCTTGTTGTTGGTTAAGACCCTTTACTGCTGGGAAATGTCACTTTGTAAGCAATGTAGCTAATGTAGTGTGTAGCATGTATTAGTTTGCATTTGCCATGAACTGTGTAGGCTTGGATTAGCAGCTTTGACTTGAAATACATCTTCCAACAAACTCCCCTACATGGAAGAAATGTTAAAACAGTTAAATACAGAACTCTGTTGACAAAAATGGGTAAATCTGTTGCTCTCAAGGGAAGAACTTAACAGGTTTGTCCAGTCTGAATTGTCAAAAATGTCAACATAAATTTTAAAATGCACATCTTTTCAAAAGTCTTTGTAATTCAAATGTATATATCTTCCAGCATAAAATGCCATTTAGATAAGGCAAATAATTAAAAATGCTTTTATTTTTACTGTAAAATCTTGTGAAACAAGACCTTGATACCCTATGTTGAGCAGCTTCTACTACCTATAATCTTCTGGCTGTGCTTCAGCACTGCAGAAAAATTAATCACACTGCTTTGTTTGGCTGTGCATGAAATATCCTTTGCCTAAAACATGTTTTTGTTTACACTGAACATCTTAGCAACTGTTACAAGTACCTAATCTTGTAGTGTTGTTTCAGGATATTACTTTAAAATGTTACTGTAGCCTGGCAAGATCTGTTGTTCTGATTTATCACAAAATGCTTGTTATTGTGAGATCTGAAGCAACTTAGTATGTATTTGCCGTATACAATTTTTGTAGCTCCGTGTCAGATCACTCATTTGCTTGTGTGCTGTTCAGTGGAATTTTGTGAATATGGCCTGGATGTGGATGGATGTGCATTACTGCACTGGAGACTTTCCTTGCATCGTAATGTTATAAATCTGATCTACATTTGTTTGTTCCTCAGAACTGAGAGCATGGCCTCACTTCTGCCCCTTAGCCACAAGGTGGCCTTAGCCTCAGAGTTAAAGTATTTTGAGATGCCAAAAACACAGATGGATCAGACAGAACCAAGGCCAACAAGGACATCCTTCAAGGTGCAGTCAGCACTTCCCCCCTACACTTCTGCGTCTAAGCAAATCCCTGGTTTTTATGATCCAACATCTACAGTCAAGGAGCTTCTGGTTAAACCAAGAACTCACTTGTCCAAGATGTCCATTCAGTTAGGGAATCCAGTAATCCAACCAGAGCCTGTTCAGCATATACCACTTTCTCCTGCAAACTCCCAACCTACTTCCACATCACCCCCGGGTCCCCTATTACACGTGGCTCAAATTGCAACTTCTGACACAAAACCAATAGGAAACATAGGAGTGGCCCATAAAAAAGATGCTGTAACTATGGATTTAGGGTAAGTGTGGCATGTCAGTTACTCCAAGTTAACAGTTAGAATGTAAAAGTAAATGATGATTGAAGACCAGTAGGTTCAGTTGAGGTATTTTAACAGTTTTCCAAAGTGCTTCAATCTCTTTGTTCTGACATCAGTCTTTGGTATACTCTACTCCTTCAGAAAAGAAAGCACGGCTGCCTCCATTTCATCTTGTTTCAGTGACACCAATTCAGCTTTTTCTCAAGTAGTGGTAAACAAAACACCAGAAGCTCAGTCTCAAAAGCAGCCCACTGGAACAAACTCACAGTGGGAGAAAACACAAAGAGACACTCTTAAAATCAGCTCTGCTGTTCAAATACCCATTATGGATAAGAAAATCATGTGCAACAACACTGCCTTGGACAAAGTCACTTCAAGTTTGGACTGTCCTTTTATGACAACAAACAATTTATCAAAACAAAGAGAAGAATCTATTGCAAGTTCCACAATATGCATTGTTGGTTCAGACACAGAACATTATATGGAGGAAGGAAGAATTGAAAATATGCCTTTGTCTATGGCTAAGAGACCACTGTGTGAAAAAGATAAGAGCATTACACAGGAACTTGTGCTGCCAAACTCTTCAGTCTGTACAGAAGAAACGTGTGTGTACATGTCTAATGTGGAACTCAGTCCATTGCGTCCAAGAGAGATTTCTTTTTTACCATCTACTTCACAGCCTGAACTTCAGATTGAAGGAACAGTGATAGTGCCAAATATCATCAAGTTGCTATCAAGTTGCCCAAAATATTCCAGGATTCCTGGCATGTCATCTTTGCATCAGTCACAAGTTATCGCTTGGTCAGTTGATAGGAGTTTATTGTTTCAGAAGTCATCCAGATTGACATTACTCCTGTATTCAGATTATGTTAGTTCCCATAATGACTCCTCCAGTATTCCTGGATTCACACCTACTTTAAATTGTGAGCTAAATATGGCTCACATTTTAAACACATGTCCCAGAAGTAGCAACATTTTGGGGTTTCCTTCTACACAATTGCAAAAGGCTTCAGACACTCCAAGTATGGCCAGTCTTCTCCCTACATGCCCTGAACAGACAGTGATTGCAGGATTGCCATTTAGACAAAGATCTGGGGCATATAATGACAACTGGAATATTCTGAGGGAAACAATTTTAGATAGACCATTAAGAAATAATCCTGTTCTGGTTCAGGAAACGTCACAAGAGGATAATGAATATATAAAACATATGATAAATATGTTACCCTCCTGTTCTTGGAAAGCAACCCTTCCTGGTTTTCCCTTTGCCCCACGAAAAGAAAGCAGCATGCCATTTGGGCAAAAACAAGACTCTAACATGGCAGATTTTTTGACTACTTGCCAAATAAAAACCACAGCCATCGGTTTACCTTCTACGGAGCCAGTCAGTGCTCGGTATGAAGGTTTGGATATAGCCAGGCATACTTTGATGGAGAAGCCTTTGAATGAAATGTTTATTCAGGATATTTCCCCAGGTGTTGTTCTAGACAAAAGGGAAATATTTAATTCAGTAGCAATGTTGTCGACTTGTCCCATGAAAACGTGCCATATGGGTATGTCCATGGGGCCTCAGAAGCTGTTACAGAGTATTGTCAGTTTTGTACCTATGTGTCCTGAACAGACCCAAACACCTGGTATGCCATCTCGATATCAAAACAATTCAGAAAACAAAGATTGGCATGCCTTGAAAGAAGCAATTAACAAAAGACCATACAAGAATACACACATTTACATTGTTCAGTGGTTCCCAGAAGACACAAAAAACCTTAAAGATATGGTAGATATGTTGGTAAGCTGCCCTCACAAAGCCAAGGTTTTTGGCTTACCCTCTGCCCCACAGCTAGAACCCAGTATAGTTAGTATAATGCCGTCATGCCCCAGATATAGTGAAATTCCTGGTTTTCCTTCAAAAAAACTTTGTTTGTCCAGTTGTAAGGAATGGTTTGCATATAAAAATTTACAATGGGAGTGTCCATTTATCAAAAGGAAAGTGGAGATTCTAAATGCAGTTATGTGTTTTGATACAAACACTGCTCAGAATATGAGTTTAATATTATCCTCTTGCCCCAAAAATGCTAGTATACCTGGGTTTCCTTCTGTTCTGAGACTAACATTATTTGATGGCCAAACTATGGTGAATTTATTGCCTAGTTGTGCAAAGGAATCTCGAGTTTCTGGAATGCCAATTAGAAACCCACCAAAACAAAAATCAGAGTGGCTATTGGAAAGAAAGTGGCTGCTGCACCCTAGGGAGAAGTCTGCAGTTAAGGTACAGGATATTACTGGATTCCTTCCTCCTTATGATATGTTTGTAAACATGGTATCGATGTTGTCCTCCTGTCCACAAACAGCCTGTTTACCAGGTTTTCCATCAATACCATGTCAGATATTGACAGATATACCAAATATTAACAATCTGCTACCTACCTGTCCAAGACATTCCAGAGCTTGTGGAATGCCCTCTAGATTCCACAGTGAATCTGATGTAGCAGAATGGCATGCAGACAAAAGTTCAATATGGGAAAGGCAATTAACAAACCCAGGAAAATTGTCAGTAATATATGACCATAAACTCTATTTTAGAGAATGGTCAGTGGTTACAATTATGGTATCAATGTTGCCATCCTGTCCCAAACATTCAGATATTCCTGGAATTCCCTCTAAGGTAGAAGACAGACCTGTGGAAGCACCAATGAATGAGCTTCCCAGCATGTTAAAATTATTATCCACTTTCCCAAGACATAGTAAAATTACAGGTCTTCCTGCAAAGGACAGTGCAAAGGAATATGATGGCTGGCAGGTGAATAGGGATGCAGTTTGGGAAAAACCATTCCATAGAAGGTATGGAATTGTTTACCAAGACTTTACTGTTAAGGAAATGTCATATAGGGACAAAGAAATAATGATGAGTATGCTTACATCATGTCCACGACAAGCCATGAATCCTGGATTTCCATTGGCTCCACCACCCAAAGTTGCGGCTGGCCCTGTAGAAAAAAAACCAGACATGGTATGGTACAATTGATGTCATGCTGCCCAAGACAGTCACGTATAATTGGATTCCCTTCAACAGTGGCAGTTATTTCAGATTCTGAAATAGGGAATTGGCCAGTGATGATGATAAAGATGCAACGCTGCTGTGCATTTCACAAAAGATATGGTTCTTCTCAAAAAGATGTAATGAAGACTATTCTATCAGTTGAATCTGCTTGTCCAAACATTGATTGCACATCCAACATCACAGCGGTTTCACCACCTAATGTAGACTTGCTTCCAAATACGGTAGATATTGTGCCACCTTGCCCAGAGAAACTTTCCATTCTTGGGGTACCATCAACACATGGTCACCATTCAGGACAGGGGTGGTCAGTTAAAACACCACTGCTAGTGAATTTAGAAATACAAAGAACTGGAAAGGAAAGACAAAACCTGATGAGTCAACAGCTATCATTGGAAGGACAGTCATTTTGTGATGTTTCTGCCAGAGACAGATCCGTGCAGTTTACATTACCTGGCCAAGATGTACGAGAGGATGTACAACAAAGAGTGACAGATGAGTCATCTACCTGTCTCATTGAGGCAATCGTCAGTGACTTTCTATCATCAAATTCTGAAACCCAATTGGATCAGCCATCTGCTAGAGTTAATGGGACTGAGATGTGGGCTGAGGCCAACCCTGCCAGATTAGATTTTGACACAAAAATAACCAAATGCTCATCAACCAACTGCGTACCTTTCGAGATACATAAAGATGGAGCGGGCTTGTGGATACCTAATGAGGCTGAAGAAGCAGCCATTCTAGAAGAAGGGTGAGTGAGCTTAAGAGTCAGAGTTAGATTAATACTGTCTGTTATTTAAGCAGAGTGGCTTTTGAAACATTTGCTTTCTTATTCTGTTTTCAGAAATTTGCATTACAGAATGTGGCACTCCGTTCCTGACATGCCACTATTATTGAGTGTTAGGAGGAGGTGGGTTGTCTTGGTTTGCACAGATATGAGTGATGCATTCCGAAAAATAATGCATTTGCACTATCTCAGCACCATCTGACTGACTCATGTGGCAACATTTGCAGTTGATCTGTGATCTGTCGGATCTGTCTGTCGTTTGTGAAGCTGGATCTTAAGGATACTCCAGAAACAGAGATATCAGTGTATGAGAAAGGGAATATTGTAGGCAAAGAAGTAGAGAGTGCTGAATTCACTGCAGATTGTTAGGTTTTCATGTCCTTACACGATATTTTTCAGTAGTCAGTACTGAATATCTGGCCTCTGATTTCTCAGTTTGGTCAAGTGGTGTGTTGCATGGTTTTAATTCATAGGGTTCCTCTTGAGGTAGGCTTACATTTTTGCTGTATATAGTTGAATCGTAGCACTACTGAGCAAAAGGGGTTGCCATACAGAAACAATATATTAAAACAACAGCAGAAAGCAAATACAAGTCAGTTTCTAAGTGTTAGAAAAAGTTTCTTCATATGTTTGGATGTAACACCTTTTGACAGTACACAGGTGCTCAACAGTATCCTCTACATCTGTGTAAATCAGTCTCTTACTTTAGAGAAATCCACAATTATTTTTATGGAAATATACAGGGTGGGTGAAAAGTAACTAGGCATTAAAAATCGGCTATAGAACTTGTAGTATCACCGAGTCATGATGAAAACAGTCTCTAAATAGATGATAGTAAATAGGATTTCATATGAAATGCCTAATTACGTTTCACCCACCCTGTACACTTCAATATTAGTTTTTAGGTACTTGAGTATATGTGGTACAGTTCTGATTATTGCAGGGATGTACTGTGAAAAAATTTCATTAGCATTTTACCTTTTTATACCAAGTAACAACACTGACTTTACAGCATTAGCTGTTTTAACAGTAGAATCAACCTCAGCAAATGCTGCTGCATGATGTTTGCTTGCATTAGTAGTTGTAGAAGGTTGTTTTAATGGTGTAAGTTTGGAGTGAATTGCATTTACTGAATTTGCATGCACAATACTAAAATACCTACTTTAAAATTGATATCGAGTAGTAATATAAAGTTTTATTTTCAACTTTGCTATCATATATTAATTAGTTGTAATTATACTCTGAAGCACTGATTGATTGTGGAACAATGTACCAGACTTGTACTGTATCGGGAAGAAAATATGCAGAATTATAGTGTTGGTCATGGAATGCTCCAGTATTTTGTTATTATTTTTTTATTAGGGACTTCCTATTTCCTACAGTTAACTTTGACTATAATTTTGTATTTACCCTTTCTTTAGACATGAACACATGGTTTTACTACAGCCATCATGTCCAGTTGTTGCTGGTGCACCAGAACTCTCATTCCAAACCCAAATAAATAATGCTGAACATCAACTAGAAAAACATCCTACAGACAAGACCATACAATGGGAGGAGCCACCAAAGGGGATGACAGAGGCAACTAAAAATACATCAGAGAATGAAAGTGACATGGCAACAGAAACGGTCACTATAGTCACACCATCGCCTGGTGCTGCCATGATGTTAGACACTGGTGATGAAATGAAGACAGAGATAGAAGATGGAATAATAGATCTGTTGCCAATATGCCCCACAGTCAGTGGAATATTTGAATTTCCTGTTACTACTAAACAAATGAATGAACACCTGCTGGACAGTGAGTCTGCTTGGAGCAAGCCATCAAAGGATGAAGTTATAATTACTGAGTCTGCTCTTCATTTACAAGAACAGGCAGGTCAAGTAGAACAAATGGTGAATATAGACTCTTCCCAGCCTGGTGCACAATGTGCGCCATATTATGTGAAGCCTGAAACTGAGTATAAACAGTCCACTTTCTTGGAAGCCTGTTCCCTTAAAACAAATATTGCTGGCATACCATCCAAATTAGCCATTGAAGAAGAAAAACACTGGCTTATAGATCAAAAGTCAATCTGGGAGAAACAATCAAAAATGAAGGAAGTATTACCAGCATATGCATCAAAGGAAGATGGAAAGAACAATAAGGAAATGGTTGTACTGACATCGTCTTGTCCTAGAGAAGCCAGAAATCCTGGGTTCCCATCTGTACTGCAACAGAGTTTTGTTTATCATAAGCAAAGTATGGTGGATATTTATCCCTGTTGTCCAAGGGTATCCACTATACCTGGTTCACCATCTATCACTGAAGCCAATAACAGATCATGGGTATCTCAACAGGAGCCACTTTTGAAGAAGAACATAAAAACTAAAGTTACTGTCATGACAGTGTCACCAAAAGAGAACAATGAAATTAAGCAAATGGGAGCTTTGATAAGAACTTGCCCAAAGCATTCGTGCACACCAGGAATTCCCTCTATTATACAAACTACTATATTAAATGCTGGATCAGATATTGTGAGCCTTTTAAGTTCTTGCCCAAAAACCTCTTGTATTGAAGGTATTCCATCATTAATGGAGCATCAATTGAGCAAAAGCTGGACTACAGATTGCAAACCTCTAGGTATAACACCACCAAAAATGAATCTAGTCATGATTGAAGATAGACCTTACAATGGTGAGATGAAGGCCATGTCAACTTTATCCCAAACCTGTCCAAAAGAAGCTTGTATCCCTGGATTTCCATCTGCTCTTGAACCTACAGTAATCTATAATGGGTCTAGTAGTGTCAATCTCCTTCCATCTTGCTTGGCTGTCTCAAGTATGGCGGGTTTTCCATCATTGCAGAAAGCTGACAGCAAAGACTGGGACACTATTCAGAAGCCATTATGGTGGAAGCAAATTAAAAAAGAGCCTGTATTACTATTGGTAAAGAGTAAAATAGGCCAAGATGTGAAAGGAATGGTTTCTCTTGCACAAAGTTGCCCAAAAGAATCACACATTTCTGGTTTTCCATCTGCACCAAAAGCTAGATTGAGTAATGTTGTTGACATGACAAATATGGTCAGTCTTTCAATCACATGCTCAAAGGTGTCACAGATACCAGGAGTGCCATCATCCTACAACTCAAAAGAGTGGACAGTTAGCAGGGAGTCACTGTTTCAACCAAGAATGAAAGAAAAGCAGGTGTCATTGACTGACCAATGTGAAAGAGATAAGAGAGCGATGAAAGCAATGGTTTCCCTTGTACCATCCTGCCCAAAAGAGGCACTGACGCCAGGATTCCCCTGTCATCCAAATCCAGTAGCTCTATATTGTGCTCCAGATATTATAAGCCTTTTTACATTGTGTTCCCAAGTTTCCAAAATACCTGGTTTCCCATCAGTTGATGGAGTTATGAGTGGAGGATGGGTAACAGAAAAGGGGTCACTGTTGAAGAGGCTGCCAAAGAAGACCATCATAGTTGACACATCAAATGACAACAAAAAGATAATGAAGAATATGGTTTCTTGTGTACCATCCTGTCCTAAATTATCGAGTGTTCCTGGTTTCCCATCTATTCCAAATCCCAAAATGCTGTATTATGTGGTCAACCTTCTTCCTATGTGCCCCCTAGTTTCAACCATACCTGGATTTTCATCAGTTAGAGAGCACAAGAAAAAAGGATGGGTTACTGAACTGGGTTCACTGATGCACAGAACAGGAAAGGATATTAACCTTAGGATTAACACCTCACCAAATGACATAGACACATCAAGCAACATGTTTGAAATGGTTCCTTCTTGCCCAAGAGCATCAAAGGTTCCAGGCTTCCCCTCAGTCCCTCAGTACAGTATGCTGAGTCTTGTACCTGTTTGCCCCAAAGTATCAAGTTTCCCAGGATTTGCATCCTTTGAAGGGGCCTCGAAATTCCAGTGGCATTTTGATACACACACTTTGTGTCATAAGCTTCAAAAGGAGACAGTTTCTGTGATACAGAGTACAAGTCAAGCAGGAGAAACTGCGAAGACGATGTTGGACTTAGCACCATCTTGCCCAGAAGCATCCAAGATCCCTGGGTTCCCCTCTGCACCTAAAACTAAGTCCAAGACTCAACACAATATGATAAGTTTCATACCTTGCTGCTCCAGTGCTTCGAGTCTCAAAGGATTTGCATCCATGACTACAGTCCCAGGCACAAGGTGGCTAAGTGAAACAAAGCCAATCTTGATAAAGCCTCAGAAGAAGAGAGCAGAAAAAATTATGGGACTTGTTGGACAGGACCAGCAATATTGCTACAACACAAAAAGTATGGTGACTTTAGTAACATCATGTCCAAAGCAAGCCAGAGTATGGGGTTTTCCTTCTGCTCAAGTTGTAAACAGACTACCAGATATGGTCAACTTACACACATCTGTTCCATGTGTTTCATGTGTCGCAGGCTTTCCATCAGCAAGGATGCTTAGCTCTGAATGTATAAAAATACAAACTAGGACACCATATAGCAAGTCCTTGTTTGAGAAACCGCAGAATGTGAAGATTTTTATTGCAGAATTTCCAGCAGAACATAAACAAGATGCCATCAAGTACATGGTAGCAATGGCTCCATCATGCCCACATTTGACTCTAATTCCTGGGTTTCCCAGCATTTCACAGTTGAATCCAACAGAGGAACCAACGATGACTTCTACTGAAAAATATACATCGCAAGAATTGCCTCATGTACAGTCAACTCATTCATATATCAAAGACACAAGAATTTCTGGTACTCTCTCTACACCTGTTAGCATCCCCAGCACAGAACTTGCATATGGTGAGAAATTTACAGTTTTAAGATCAAGGTCATTTAATTTTTTATGTCTTGTTTCGTTTCGCATATTTTACTACAGTATGTATGTTTTTATGACAGAGGAGAAAATCGAAGATAGTGCAAAGCAAAACATTGACCTTTCTGTAGATAATGGGTAAGTTGAAGAGCCTCTTGCTCTTGCATTATTTGCTGTGAAATGGGCCAATCTTGTGCTTGACTAGCATGGACTGCTTGGACAAATCAACAGTCGCTTTGATAACTTGACTATACAGTGCATAGTAAATTTCAACATCTCTGTGAAGGCTGTATTCATTAAATTTTGTACTGTGAAGCTACATGGAATTTGTTGATTAAACTTTAAAACCTTTTATATTTTGGTCCTCAGCAAAACAAAGGTAGAGCATAATGCAGCAGATGAGGCCCAAACTTTAAGGAGACCATCAGACACATCAGAGCCAGCAAGAGTCTTGGGTTGGGAAGTACTGGAGGCAGAGGGATCAATAACAGAAAAACAGGCAGACTCCCCTTTTTCAGTTAAGGAGGACGAGGCCTCAGGATTAGTAAAGACTATTGTGGATGTTTTCCACAAAGGGTAAGACCGTTCTGTGTGCAGCATGCAACATAGTGTATATCAGTTATTAATCCCAATGATTAGTGCAAAATACTAAGGTGATTTGGATTTTTATGGCCATTTGTGTCATATATTAAGTTCACTGTATTCGTTTTTTGAATGCAGACTCTTTGATTGATTCTTTCCATCTTTGAACTGAAGTAAAAGCTGGACTGTTTTTTGCATTAGAATTTATTTCACTATCCGAAATAGTCAGTGGTTTCTTTAATTAGTTACATGTTTAAAGAAACCAATTTATGCATTTTTACAGGTTTCATTCACTTACTCCATTATCCATTTCTCACAGTTATGAAACAGTAGCATCTATTTTGGGGCCATCTAGCTCTACTTTAACTGAAGTGGATCACCAACCCAGGCCCATAGAGGAGACTGCCTCTATGAGTCTGAAAGACAAGATGGTGACCCCCTCAGATGAGTTTTTTCCACATTTCGTGGACAACACTACTCCCATACAGAAGATAGAGGGGTATTCTGAGGACATGAACACCAAGCATGACATTGAATATCCAACAAGTGTTGAGCCTTACATATGGAACTTGGTAGGTGATCGTTCATCTTCTCCATCACCAACTACCGACAGTGATGATGGGTTTTTAATTTGTTCAAGCATGAAGAAATGGCCGCCATTGACAGAGGCTGACATTACGGAAATATCAAAGGAAAATGGTGAACAAGTAGAGGAACAAGAGGCCTCTCTTGACCAATGGGATACAAAGGAAAAATCACTTCCAGGTCAGGATGTTCAGACATCACTGTACACTGAAAGTTTGTTAGTAAGGCATCAGACTGAGGCAGAACAGGATGAGGTTTTAACCGTGTCATCTTCTGCACAGCTGGATAAAGGGTGAGTGCTGGCAGACTATGACTCGAGAGTATGGTTGCACGGTGTGCATGTTTGGTGATAACATTGTTTCTTGTTCTGCTTTTGAGCACATACAGTACTACTCAGGAAATTATAATGTTAACTCTTTGTAACAGCTAAAGGACTGACATTGTGATGTGGAGTGGTAATATTGCCTTTAAATAAAGTGTTGATAGGTGTTGTAAATAAAGGTTAACTTTGCCTTTGTGTCCTTTTTGTGCTGCTGTGTTGTTTTAATGACAGTGCGCATGTGCATAGGTAAAGCAGAATGTTTTATGGTTTTACAGCATTTGACAAAATGTTGTTGCTGGCTTTTTGATCAAGCAGATAATTTGGTTGGAGATGGGTGCATGGTACAACTGTATGACAAATTCAAGAACAGCAAATTCTGAAAAATGTCCTTTCTTTTCCTTAAGCCCCCAACAAGCAAGCATCGAAGAAATTTCTACTACTTTCCTGAAGCCTACATCAAATGAACTACTCACAGATGACAATGAACATAGAGAAGTACTCTTGGATAACTCTTCATATGATCAAAACATAAGTCCACTAAGACAACATGTTGACACTGCTGTTCCTCAGCAAGGCAGAAAGCCACAGACTAAAGTTCATAAGCACAAATGTGAAGCTGAATGTGTGCAAATATCCATGGATGTTATTCCTCCTCCTCGTGTGAAAAGAAAGGATGGTAGTTTGCCACCTGAAATTCCAGAGAAAACTGCCCCTTACAAGCCCTTGAGGACAAAAAGCAGTGTTACTACAGAGAAATCGGATCTGACTCATGACCAACATTTGAAAGCCCAAGGTAGTGTAGCTTTAGAAACGTCTGATCCTGTTCTTCCACAACCGTGTGACATCAAGTCTGATGTCTCAGTAAAACCAAGTAAAACAACCACTGAAATGATCTCTTATACTGTACGAAAAAAAGACCACCCCACCAAACTGCGCTCTGAAGAAACTGATTTTTCAGGGAGTGCAACTATACAGACAGAGACAGAATTGGTCTGCTCAAAGGACACAGAACAAACCTCTTGTGCTCAAGAATGGCCCAAAAAAGACATTAATGCATCTATTCAATCCTCTTCTCACAAAGCTCCTCCTGTGGAAAAAAAGTGGAGTAAGGGCATCACCCCAAAGCCAGAACGACAGATATTTCATGTTGAGCAAATTGCTCCTCTCTCAATCATTAAGAAGATATCTCTTCCACAACGTGGCAAAAAATTGTCTTTAAATAAATTTGGAAAAATTGAAAGTGACAAGGGAATTACAGCACAAAATTTTGTTTCAAACAAGGAGTCTGTAAAACCTGTCCAGATTGACAATGTTGTGATTGGTAACATGGAAAAGGTAAAGAAGTCAAAGATGACTGGTGATACATTTGATAAGTTAATCAAAATTGCATCTTCTCAAAAATCAGAGGATTCATCAGAGATAGCAGAGGCAGAAAGGGACAAACAAGCAACTTTTCTTATCCCAAGGCCTCGTGTGAGGAAACATTTCAGTGGTTCCTTCCCAGATGACTTTACAGCTACAGAGAGCACACCTCAGGCTTCCATTGGGGAAGAAGCACAGGCAGCAAGGCAAGGTGGTCCTTTATCCATTTTCTCAACAACTAAAGAATTGTCAGTAGTGCAACACAGCCAAGACCTTCCCCCACTTTCTCTGGATGATCAGCCTTCTACTTCTAAAGAAGTGGCCGGTATACAGTTGAGGAGACGCAGACTGTCCACTGAGAACAGTGTTCAAGTACAGGATGATGATACTTTAGTGAAGACACCAAGACCTTCAAGTTTACCTGTACCAAAACCAAGAGTAAGGAAATATATCAGTGATGTGTTCCCAGGTGACTTAACAATTTCTGACACAGTAGCTGATACCATTAGTCCGGATACATTCCAGCAGAATGAACAATCAGGCTTGACTGTTCCTTTGCCTCATGCCAACAAACGTATTAGTACAACTTCTTTAGATAGCATACCAGACAATTTATGCCCCCCCGAAATGGAATTGTCTCAGAGAAACCCGGAGGACATATCTGTTAAGGAGACCAAGGAGGAATCAGCATTACTGGATTCAAGCGCAATATCTCAAGAAGGCTTTGTCACAGCCCACTGTGAAGATGATGTTACATCAGAGTTGGAACGAGAAGTGCTAGCAGCAATGCAAGAAGAAGATTTTCCTCAGCCACTCTCTGGAGAAGATACAGAGAAGGCACTGGATGAAATCATTGAAGGCTGGACGATTACAGATAAACTTGTTACAGATGACTCAGAGGAAGCTACAGAAACAGTGTCAGAACAGGTTGACACTGAAAAAGTTCTGGATGCAGAGGTTGAAAGGTCCCTTGCTTCCACTGTTGCATCTTCTCAGGATGACTGGCTGCATGTAGAGGATGAAAAAGAGAGTGAACCAATGGAATTAAACACAAGGAAAGAAATTAAGGATGAAGATTTTGACTTTGGCATTGTACCTGTAGATGTAACTGCTGGTTGTATAGAGGATCAAAGGTAAGATTAGTGCCCATTAAGGCGATGGGGTTTCACTCATAACTGAGAAATGTGTGCATTTTGCATTATCATCTATTTCTACACATTCTCATTGTCTCATAATTTGTAAGTCTGCAGTGTGGATATGGTTTTGTTAGCAATAGACAGTAGTTTGGAAAATTTGGAAAAATCAATAACCTGTGTTTGCCTGATCAGAGCAAACTTGACTTGAAAGAAATTGTGAAATTAAATGATCACTTTGTTTTGGTGTTTCTCCAGGCAAAGGAAGAAAGCAGAAGAAATTTCAAATCAGCCTGTACCTGTGCCTGGAAGCAAGAAGGGGCTGAGTGCTTCTTACTTAGATGACAGAAAGTCACCTCCAACTAATGAACCAACAATATCTCAAGAAGGATGTACAGATGGTGCTGCCTCTCTGGAAGTATGCTAAAGCTACAGTTATAAATAATTGTATAGTAAGAATTGATCAAAAAAACATCTCTGTAACTTGGTAACAGAGTGAATTAAAACCACTTGTTCAGTTCCCATCAACTCAAAGGACTCGTTAGCTTCATTCAGGTCATTGTTTTGTTTTAAGGTTTGTAAAACTTTGTTTTCACCAACCTCATTTCCTGGAGCAACAGGCTCAGAGAAGCTTAGCTTAACCCACTGTAATATATCTTCCCAACACTAAATAGTGGACAGATGACAAATTTAGAGGCTAGTTGATGAAGAAAACTGGACATTGTAGTGGGCATTGGACTTATATTGATAAGGTGGACAGAAACACAACTGAAAATCAGTGCTAATATTGCTCTGTGTCTGCTGGATCTGTGGACATTAATGCTAGCATTTATTTGCTTAACAACTTTGGAAGGCTGTTATCACCCAAAATGCAGTTAATTCATCTTAATAATCTATATTCAGTGTCTCTATATTGCTATTATGTGTGTTCTAGAGCCAAATGGCAGGTCCTACCTTAGTGACGTCCAGTCAGTCTCTGCTGGAATGGTGTCAGGAAGTCACACAGGGTCACAAGGGAATGAAGATCACCAACTTCAGTACTTCCTGGAGGAATGGCCTGGCCTTTTGCGCCATCTTACATCACTTCCACTCAGAAAAGATGTAAGAAACAGTTGAAATATTGGTTACTGAACTCTACTTTATAAAGTCTATTTATTCTTTATCTTCTTTTTTTTGTATAGTAATTATGAAATGCTGGACCCATATGACATCAAGAACAACAACAAAAAGGTGATTAATAACTAGCTATTTATTAATTAAATTACCAACATAAAATGGCTACAACAATTTATTTTATCTGTTGACTGATAAGTCCTAATGTAATTGACTTTTTTTTCTACATATTGCAGGCCTTTGATGAGTTTGCGAAACTTGGCATTTCTAGGTTGATAGAGCCTTCAGACATGGTCATGCTAGCAGTGCCTGACCGCCTCATTGTGATGACTTACCTTAACCAGATCCGCACTTATTTCACTGGTCAGGAGCTCAGTGTGCTTCACATAGCGAAGGACAGCAATGAGTCCAGTTATGCAGTATCAGGGGACCTGGATCACCAAGAGGACCCTGAGGCAACTGCTCGCTACTGTGCCCAGAGACTCCAGGAGGAGGGTTTAAGTTTTGAGTCTAATGGGACTGCAGGAACAGTGGAGAAGGACAGTAATACCACTAAAGATATGGTCCCACCTCCAAGAACCAAACGGTTGCAGGTTGCTGGGGCAGGTGGGGCTCAGTCTCCAGTGGCACCACCAAGGACTCATGTCCCATCCAAGTCAGGCTTCTCCCATGTCAAAGATGCTGATCTAGTCAAGAAGCGCAGGTCACAGCGGAGGAGTGGATCTGTAGAGGAAGCAGACGCATCAGTGGTATGATGCCTTACATCTTTAAAAATCCCATACCATCCTCTCCTTTACATGTATATAAAACATGAGAGATTTTCTTTGTCTTTCTAGGTCATTGCAGGACAAGAAGACCGGAGGAAGTCAGACACTGGTTAGTTCTTTTTGAGTTCTTTTTTTTTTTTTTTTTTACTGTAGTTGTAATTGTACAGTAGTCTGACTACTGCCTAAGCCTAAATAATCTTTATCTAATCTTGACTGTTTTTATTGACTTTTTTTTACTTTTGATAACTTGGATTGATTCAGTTTGATGACATTAAGGTTTATTTATACAAATGCTGTTCTTATTAATTTGTGTATTTTTTGCAGAAAGACCAGAGGCAGTGTATGAGGAGCGAAGACCAGAAGGCCAGGTCGGTTAAGAACCATTTGTTTCATTGTATGGTCTGATTGTTGAACCTCAGATTCAGGAGGAACAATGCATATTCTGTCCTGGCTGTGGAACAGTGGACCAGCTATCCTTGCAAGCTGGATGGGTTGTGGGAGTTTGCCCATCCAGTCTACATGTGTTTTGTAGACTTGGAGAAGGCCTATGAACCGGATCCCTTGGGGGACTTGTGGGGTACTGCAGGAGTATGGGGTACTGGGTGATTCACTCTTTGAAAATGTTGCATTGCTCCAATTTTGGTGGACGCCCATTAAAGTGCCCTAAGAGGAGAAGATTAGGTATCTTTGGGTCTTGTACACAAGTGAGGATAAACTAGAGCATGAGACTGACTTGTGGCATCAGCAGTAATGGGGACATTGTACTTGACAGTAGAGGTGAAGAGGGAATTGAGCCAGAAGGCAAAGCTTTCAATTTACTAGTCAATCAACATTCTAAACATTACCTAAGGTTATGAGCTTTGGATAGTGAAAAAAGCTGCTGTTCCTTCATGTCGAAAGGAGCCAGTTGAGGTGATTTGGGCATCTGATTAGGATGCCTCCTGGACATCTTCCATTGGTGTTTTTCTGACTCACAAGAGGTCCTGGGGTAGACCCAGAATATGCTGGAGAGACTGTATATCTCATCTAGCCTGGGAATACCTCTGGGTCCCACAGGGGGGAGCTGGAACACAATGCTGGGGAGAGGGACATTGGGAATACTTTGCTGAAACTACTGCCACTGTGACCAGATCCAGATAAGCGTCAGAAAATGGATGGATGGACTGTATATAAACATATTTAGGTAATTGTGTTTGTATATATATCAATGTACCCAGGATTGCAGCCAGTTGTTTGTATATATATCAATGTACCCAGGATTGCAGCCAGTATGTGCTGAATCAGATGGAAGCCCTGGGAGCAGAACAAAATCATATTGACAATAGAGCCGATGTCGTGGAGAGGAAACTCAGACAATTACTGGAAACAGGTAAAGTACTTCATAGCTATAAATGGATGCACAGTAAATTAACAGCAGTCCTGATCCTATTCATTATTAACTCTTAACTACATGATATCAATTTAGGAAAGAAAGAGAGGACTATGACTAACATAAGGGGTCATCATAATGTGATTTTCTATTGCAGACAGTGACAAAGTGGAGGAGGAAAGGTTGATTCAGGAATGGTTTACGCTGGTCAACAAGAAGAATGCTTTAATCAGGAGGCAGGACTATCTCCAACTACTGTAAGACATCCACACAACACAGTCCTGGAAACATGTACAGTATAAACTGCTGAATTTATAGTACAGTCTTCACAACTGACAAAACAGTTTCACTACAAGGATCATTTAGTCTGGTGTTGGAGCTACATATAATCTTCCTCAAGAGAGGGAGTTAGCCACTTCTCATCAGATTTAAACCTGCTTTGACAGCTACTTGGGGGCTGCAGATAGAAACTGTGAACAGTGACATATAGGGATGTGATGAGATCTTGCGATATTAAAACGTGATGTTGTTTCTTGTTGAGGCAAAAGCTGTCTCATGATAACCAGAGTAGCAGCCAATATGAAGGAGTATGATGGCAAAGTGACGTACATTCACATTAGTCCAAAAATGCTATTCCCTACTGTTTTAATGCATGGGGCTGCGTTGTTCGGGGGTAAGGGGTTACAGGGGGAGTGTTGTAGGTGTGTACGATACGTCTACATTGTGACAAGTCAACAAGAGTGGCTTCATTCACATTTCCAGTTCATGGATTTTTGTTGTGTTTGGTTAGCCATGTTGCTAATGTAGCCTACTCTACCATAGCACCAATTCTACCACCAGTGTGTCAGCATTGATAGATTAAAAAAAAACATAATTTTTTTCCCATACTAGCAAAAATGCATGGTGTGTTAACTGTGGCCCAGATTCGACAGTGAATAGCAGTGAATGCTCATGCAAACCCTGAGCTGGAACTCATTATAAAGTTCTTTAAAACAAAGGGGAGCTGCTCATTCAGCTATAGTTCTTTGGAGGTTTATCACTAGGCGCAGTGATGGTGGTAACTAAATACTGTACATCTACTCAAGTACATCTACTTAAATACTATTTTGAGGTATTTGTACTTTTTTGCATTTTCTGCTACTTCATATTTTAACTTGCATTTTAGAGGCAAATGTGGTACTTTTTATTTCACTGTATTGATTTGATAACTTTTCAGAACCAGACTGACACACATACACATACATACGTACTACTTTACAGACTGCTGGGTATCGTGAATTTCCCACTGAGGATCAAGTCTTATGATTATACTGTATTTTGTGTTATCAATATGTTTAAACTGCTTATGATCATTCTGAGCCTGTAAGACAAACCCCTCCATAAGCACAGATGTCTCACGCCTTGTGATGCATCTTTTGGGATTGACAGGCTGGAAGAACAAGACTTGGAAAGAAGATTTGAGCTATTAAAGAAAGAGCTGAGAGACATGATGGCGATTGAAGGTACAACTTTACAGCTAAACATATACTGCTTCAGTAACACTGCATTTTTTCAAGCACTCAGATTGTGGTTTAATGCTCAGATTGTAACCTTATTCTCATGACCGACATCTCATTGTACCAAATGAAATCACATCATTTCCTGTTAAGTTAAGTTAATGAGGAAGTGCCTTTAAATATGAATGTGATGTCAGATCTGTAGGTTTATTTTTTAACCTCCTGAATGACTGTAGCTCACAAATATAACTTGGAGCCTCTCAGCTTTTCTCTGCCGTTTGGCTTGACACTTAACCACATTTGAAGTGTACAGTGGTTGAGTGATACTCAGGACTGACTGTATTGCGGGTAGAGTGTCACAGACATTAATAGAATTGATTGGATCCATAAATAATGAGGGATAAAAAAAAAACAAAATCTGGAATCTGGCCTCACCACTTGAAATTTAACCATCATATAGCATGACCAGTGTGAGTTGCTCACAATCGTCACATCAATCACAGATAAACACACAGGATAGGCTGCATAACCATGCATTTTAACTGTTTAGTTTTATCCTAATCACTTTGACTTAGTTTTCATATTCTTTTTAGTCTATTTTTACTCCACTTTTATTCTGTTTTAGTTTCCTAAATGGTGTGGCATTCAATACTAGGTGAGAGAGTATTTTGATTTTCTGTATGTCCTGCACATATAGTGAATTGACAATAAAAATCTTTGATCTTTTTGATTTTTTAAAACAAATTTGGAAATGTTTGCTATTATAGTTTGTTTAGTTACTCTTTACAAGGACAGTTAAATAACTTTTTATTTTACTAGTTTGATAAATAATGGCTTTTATTTTGCATAGACGTCTTTGGTTTTCAAATGATAAAATAATGTTTGCAAAGAAAGATGAATTATCACAATCACACACCATTACGCAGATGGCCTTTCTTAGCTGTGGTAAGGCTGAACCACAGTCCTCCTCACTATCATTGTCTATTTTCCTTTTGCAAAATGTTCTCATGGTGGCACAGGGGCGTGGTGGTTAGCACTGGTGCCTCACAGCAAGAAGGTTCCGGGCTTGAGCCTGAGCCAACCTGGAGCCTTTCTGTGTGGAGTTTGCATGTTCTCCTTGTGCCTGTGTGGGTTTTCTCCGGGTGCTCCAGCTTCCTCCCACAGTCCAAAGACATGCAGCTTAGGTTGACTGGTGACTCTAAATTGCCCGTAGGAGTGAGTGTGGATGTATGTGGTTGTCTGTCTCTAAGTAACCGCCCGGTGATAGACTGGCGACCTGTCCAGTGTACACCCTGCCTCTCGCCCAATGTCAGCTCGGATTGGCTCCAGCCCCTCTGCGACCCTATTCAGGAATAAGCAGTATAGATAATGGAATGGATGGAAAATGTTCTCATTTGTTTCATTTCTGTTTCTCCATGCCCTGGCTGTACAGAGTGGCAGAAGACTCAGGCTCATAAACACAGAGAGCAGCTGCTGCTTCAAGAGCTGGTTGCACTGGTCAACCAGAGAGATGAACTGGTCCACAGTATAGATGCCAAAGAGAGAGGGTGAGTCACACTCACTGCAACGGTTGGAGTGTTTATAAAGGTTTGGGAGTCCTACAGTAACATACATGTGCACACATACTGTACCTCTGCTTTTGGGTGCGTTCCAAAACCCAACCATCACAGTGCTGGTTTGTACTGGGTGGGTGTGGTTTGTGTTTCATTTAAATTCAGCATGTGAAACAGCACATGCTGCTTGTGCCGACTGAAGCCATGGTAAATTGGGGCACATCAACAAAACAGCACGTGGAGTCTGACAGAACGGTGAATAGCAGATATATCTTCCCCACAGTAACTGTTGTCAGAAAATGTGAGCACCATGTCCTTCCACTAGCTTTTGATTATGAGTCAGAAACTCTGAGAAGTTTGAATCACACTGAGCTTGAAAATTAATTGGTGAAGCAGGCATTGGTGAAGCAGGCGCTGGTGCGTTCATCATCAACAAACCGGCGGAGACTGAGTGTTCAAGAGGAGTTTAGGAGTTTATGTAGGCCAGGTGATCGTTAGGCAGATTTGCCACAGCTGCGTAACATTCCTGGTATGCCAGTGTCTGTGAGGAGAGAGAAAGAGAGAGAGAGAGAGTAACAGGGAGTGGAGCGCAACCCTAACACTTCCACCTTAACATCTGTGTTTATGAAGCTCAAAAGTGTGTCAGTTTTTGGTGAAATTGTCACAAATGTAGAATATTCTAACCCTATCGTGTATGTAAGCGAGGAGGACAAATTATCAGGAACGCCTCTGAATATAATGTAGTGCAGTCCAACACCACCTTTACTTATGACCTCAGTAATAAATATGTAATTGAATTTATACATTTAGGACAATTTCACCAAAAACTGAAACAGATGTTAAGGCAGAAGTATTGCATCGAGTTACAGGTGTACCTAATAAAGTTGCCGGGTAGTGGCAGTGTATGTCTTTCTTCAGAGTGAAGTGAACATCACAGTCAAGTCAACAAGAAGTTCTTTGACAAGTGACAGAGGATGTTTATGTTGTCTTTACTATCAACAGTCTCTACCACAACCAGTACCTTGTAGGAGTAAACACAAGCAGCCCAAGCTGACCGATCACAATTCTTGTTGTCTCCATATAGTATTATAGCCCAGGTGTGTGCTGATGTTGATGAGGAGCATGTTAGCTACAGTATATTTACATGCATAGGCTCCATACCTACACCCAGTTTTAAGCAGAACTGACTCAAGTCATTCTCGCATTCAGATCATCAGAATATATGTTGATAAACCTGTAACGCCATGTGTGTAGTGGCTGTGTCATGAAAGCAACATATTAGCAGCCAAGCAACAGCAGTTTCAGTCTTCCATCAGCGTCTCACTGTAACCATTGAAGCACAGCACAGCTGGAGGCTCAGACACATTCTGGCATTACCCAAAGCCCAGTGCATAGTCACTGTTGCTATTCAAAAGGGATGGAAGAAGAAAAGGTCTAAAGGAACAATGACAAAAATAAAACACGAGATGTTATGTTGTCCACGCAGTCAGCCATAATTATTAAAGCAGAAGCGCATCTGTTTTGTCACACATGGGAGAAAGACCAGTGAAAATGCAACTGAAACACATCCTGTGTGGACACCCTGTGATTCTCATCTTTTCTTGCCCTCAGAGCTCTGGAGGAGGATGAGCGTCTGGAACGAGGTCTGGAGCAGCGGAGGAGGAAGTATTCTAAACAGCAGAAGGAGAAATGTCTGATGCAGTGATTGTATTGACCTGCAGCCATGAAACATTTATCTGAAAGGAAGAAAGTCAAGAGTGTGACATTCAATTTTACTCTTCTCTCACCTGCTATCAGAATGATTTCATTCAGCAGTAAGAGGACACTTAGGCCAGGCCTGTCAACACAGCTGACTCAAGGAAGGTACCAAGGGACACACTGAATGAGTATGAGGTAGCACTGAACATCCAGTGGAGACTCAGATGTTCCAGAGTGAGGCTCTGCTAGGATTAGACTCTGAATCAATTATATTTGAGTGTTATTTGCCCTTCTGAGTGTCTTATAATGTGGCACGAGGCTCCATTTTATGACCAAAATTCAAGGTCTCCTGAGGACATTACAGGATGAGAGAAATATCCACCAGTCCTCCAAATGGAAAAACAAAATACCCATGTTTTTCACTTACAAAAACATATGGGTAGGGTTTATTTAAGTCACCATAGTTGCCTTACTATAGAATGTGCTGCAGTACATTATAAATGACAGTAAAAACTGTACAGATATACATCGCCCACACATGCAGATTGGTTCATTGTGGCAGTTTTATTGGAATTGAATTTCGTGTTGTCAGCCCTTGTGTTTGGATGTTTGTTGTTTGCCTTATTTATTTCTTAAAGATAAAAAAAATAGCAATTTGGAAATGAAAAAGATATACAATGTAGTTAGTGTCTGTGTTTGAGATGTTAAGTGTTTACATCATATTGTATTAACAGGTCTTGAGTGGAACAGACAGGGTGAAGGTGACAATGGGATGCAAGAATTAGGAAAACAATATCAGTCTTCTAACTAAGTTATTGGATTAATTGCAAGTTTTAATATTTATTCAAGATATATCAACCAAACAAGCAGCCACACTGATCTACTTTACTGGTTTGTATTTTCACCAACTCTTACAGCCCATCTGCATTGTAGTATTTGACTTCCATCTGTGTAGACAATGTTTAACACAATACCATAGCATTCATCTTTTTTTGTCAATTAATGACAAAGGAAATGACATTTCTATCAGATCTGCACGTTTTTCTTTTTTCTGTTGCCACTGATAAGGAAGATGCTCTGATAAGCTTCAAGTATTTAAGCACACTGAGCGGAGCCTGTCTTTTATTTTGTTAATCAAGTAATGGAAATATTGTGCAAAAAACTTTTATATTACACAAAAGTTGTTCTGAAATGAAAAGTGAGGATGTGAATGTTCCTGCATGATAAAAGACTCCTCTTCATTTGCACAATATTAGCATTTATTTAAAGTGAATTGGCACTGGCATTGACAGTTCCTGAGAGGTTTTATTTTTGTGGATACAGCTTTGCAGTACTCATGTTGCCATATACTGCCGGTGGTAGCAGCTCTGATCTCCAGCTGTGTCAGTTAGTGAAAAGGGTTGGAAAGGTTTTATTTGCAATTTTATGTTCCATTTGCACTATTTGTAATGTTTGGAAAATATAAAAGATTTGAATGCCTTTTCACATCGTATGCAGTTATTACCTATTGCATAATATTTTTTATCAGTAAATGAATTCATAATGGGTCTTTAAAGACTGGTGTTGGTCTTTATAAGCTGCAAAAGGTTCCTCTTTTGTAGTTTTAAACGTCTATTCCCTGATGTTGTAGGGGTCCAATGAAAGCCAGATTATGGGGCCAACTGGCCTCCAGGCTCCAGACCATCAGGGGGCTTGAGGGTTTCTGGTTAAACGTGTGGCATGCATAGTTATAAGGTTTGAAACCTGCACTGTTTCCTTATCTTGTGCCTCAAAATGTAGCATTAAGCTCATAACTATTTGCATTTCTATCATGTTTACACGGTGAATCTCTCATTGAATTGAATCAAATTGCCACATATCGCGGATAGAGTGAGAGAAACAGGAGATCAACGGGAGCCTACGTCTGCCCCGTCACGATTTTAGGAATAGAGAACCTAAATGCAGACAAAGCCAGAGGGAGAGGAGTGCGGTGGAAAATAACAGGGCTTTATTAAAGGCATAGAACACTATGGCAGGAACTGAGACAGAACAAGCAAAAGCTAGACATGGAACATAGTACACATAAACAAGCAAAACCTCAGGCTTAATACTGATGTACATTGAACACAAAGGTTCAGCAAACCAGAACATTATAGCCAAAACTAAACAAAACTCTTCTACAGGCAAGCTTCTGAAAATGTCAAAACACACACACAAAATCTGTAATAGAAAACAGAAGAACTAAATACAGAAAGACTAAGTCATAGGCAAAGGGTGAAATATTCTTCCTCCTTTTTAAACAGTAACCACAAAAAACTCAGTCTGGCAACTTGGAGAACAATGGAAGAAACATGGGACATGAAGGCTCAGCTGAGATTCAGGTTTGTTAAGATACAGTACACACATTTGTGATGATAGCTTGCCAATGGATGTGAACAATGATGTCAATGTTCTGGTCATTTTGGGAAGACCATTACCAGAAAATACCAAAAGGCTGACAGACTTTAATAATGTCACTTTTGGCTTTTCCCTGTTAGAGGTCGCCACAGCAACGATTCACATGTTGACATTTGGCACGTGTTTTACGCCGGATGCCCTTCCTGATGCAACCCTGACTCGAACCCAGGCCTGAGCGGCGGGAGCGCTGCACCCTAACCACAAGCTGACAGACTTTAATAACGGTCTCTAAATCCTTTTTGCTCAGAAAACCTGCGTGTGGCTCCAGTTCCTACAGTATTGTTATGTACATTTGTGAATCATTAACACGTAGCTTTCCAATTTTCATATTAAAGCTGCATCACTCTACTTTTGACCACTAGGGGTCATAAGAAATCCAAAACAAGCTGAGAAACACACATCCCTGATCACATCTGTAGTGGTGCATAATATGCAGGTGTACATTGTATTCCCATCTACAGGTAGTGGTTTTTAACATAAACTTGCCTTATAAAACACACTATAGACAGCCAAGCTAGTCTTTAACCTAATCTTTGTACAAAAGCCTGCTCTATACATATCTGATTCTGTTACACACAGTAAGAGGCATGTCTGTATCCTGTTACAAATAAGTCATCTCAGCAGCTTGTCAGTCTCCCTAAAACCAAGGATTCTTGAATGTCATCATTTCTAAAGAAAGAAATGGCAGAAAGAGGAAGTGAGACAGTCTTGCACAATAGCTGAACAAAATAGAACAAAACAAAACAAAAGAAGACTGGTAGACAGTAGAACATTTTGAATTGGTTACACCAGCTAGATTGCTAGCTAAATTACTTCTAAACCCATCTTCAAATGAGGTCCTTTCTACACCCAGACTTATTTCAACTTGTAAATCTTTAGCTTTAAAATAACAATTAAAATAACTATTTAAAATGGCTACAAATATGTTCACAAAGAATTAAGAAATATCTCCAACTTGCAGTATTCAGGTTTTTTAGTAGTTCCTGTTACCATAAGCATTTTTTATTCACTTGAGCATTGTCATGCTAACTTCTTTCTGGGACAGTATCTTTATTGACATAAAATAGTATTTGATTGAATCAGCTCCAGCCCCCATTGATCCTCTACAGGATAAGCAGTTTATAAAATGAATGGATGGCTATATGACTAAAGTTAAGTGGATCCAAAGTACTTTATCGCAGCATGCAATCCGTGACCATTTTTAACATAATTTTATCAGTCTTTCATCATTCTCCGTTACCTGTGAGGATTAATCTCTTTCTCAATAACTTTCTGTTCTGTATGTATATAATAAGAAGCTCAGAGAGCTGACTAGTGCTAACATGTTGCCAGCTTGCTAACAAGTTAGCTGCTACCCAGGTACCACAGTAGTTCACAAACAATATTTGTCACCAAGCCTTGAGTACCACCTATTTTAAAATGACACATGGCTGAATTTCACTGCATCACTGTCAGGTTTGCCCGGCTGCACCTGCCTTTCTCACTTCCCTCACTCAGTTTTTGCTCCCTTACCTTGATGACGTTATCCGACACACCTGCTTCATATCCCCTGATCACCACCAGCTGCACCTGATTAGTTCTCCCTATTTATTCCCTGCTCTACGTTCACTCCCCTGCCAGTTCTTTCTAGTATCTTCAGGCCCGTTTGTTTCTCGTTGTCTTTAGCATTATATATTGTATTCACGTTTTGTCGCCCTAGCCCCGTTCCAGTCTTGTGCCCCATTGTCT